CTTGGTGTAGAAACTCTGGAAAAGGTGGGATCTTTCACGTACTTGAGAAGCATCATCGATGAACAAGGAGGATCGGATGCAGATGTGAAGGTAAGAATTGGTAAAGCAAAGACAGCATTCCTACAACTGAAGAATGTATGGAACTCAAAGCAACTGTCAACCAATATCAAAGTCAGAATCTTTAATACGATCATCAGGACAGTTCTACTATGCTGAGCCGAAACGCGAAGAACTACTTTAACCATCATCAAAACAGTGCAAGTATTTATAAACAATTGTATATGTAGGATACTCAATGACCGTTGGTCGGATACAATCAGCAACAGCCAACTGTAAGACATAACAAACCAGCTTCGAACTGATGGGAAAATTAGGAAAAGACGTTGGGGGTGGATAGGACACACATTACGGAAATAATCAAACTGCATCACGAGGCAAGCGCTAACTTGGAATTCTGAAGAGAAACGGAAAGGAGGAAGGTCAAAGAACATACTGCATCGGGAATTGGAAGAAGACATGAAAAGAATGAATAGCGGCTGTAAAGGATTGCCCGGGACAGACTTGAATGGAGAATGCTGGTGGGCGCCCTATGCTCCTCCACGAAGGGTAACAGGTGTAAATATGATGGACGAGGTCTTGACTGATTGAAAACTAAATAGCCTAAAAAATTAATTTTCTCTAATCACCTATAACACTAAATCATGTCTATCTTCATGTCAATACTTTGTACATAAGCCTGTTATTTTCCCAGAAAAAAGGTCTATTTTATTGGTTAGTTGTCCCATCTTTTGATATCAGTTCAGTTGAGAGGGTTATGTTAATAATTCGGTCTCGTGAGTAGACACTACCTGGTAGTCTGAATCGATGTCTCGATACTTCATGCAGCTGCATACTCATTGTTTTTTGAATGGTGACTATTAGTGGAACACAGAACGCGTATTTCCTCCTACATGATTTTTTCAGCTGAACGTATTTGTGCCTAAGTGTTGATTTTCACACTGAGGGTCGAACAAAGTATCCACCATTTTAAAAGCCAACTCGTCACAAAATACAATGATTTCTAGATGTATATTTCAATTGGGATGCATCAGTACATATTGAAATCGAAGATTTGGATAACTACCTCTAAATTGATAAGTCATACACTATGGGTTCTATCGACAACCGCTATTCAATTAGCACTAAAATCAAATTATCTAACCTGGAACAGACTTTATTATTAGTGTATTGGTATTATCACTGGAGGATAGCCAGAAAGTAAATATTTAGGTTGATTAACAATTTTAGAAACGACTTAAATTTCTTACACTAAAATTATTGAATAGAATTTCAGAGAACTTGATCAGGTTTGTGTTGTGTGCCATAAACGCCACCTTTTGGATGAGGATGGCTAGTGACTTTAATGGATCTCTTAAACTTCAGTAGACGATGAAGATTTCGAACTGGTTTACTATTGGTTAGCTTATTGGTTTAGCTTAGTCGAAATTGTGCTGCTGTACATTACTAAGTTAAGAAAAACAGTAGTGTACAGACCGACAGAAAGAATTAATACAGAGTCTGGACTACCTATATCAAGATTTCAATTAATAGATACAAAAAGGGATCCGAACAGGAAATAAAGTAGTCAATGACTAAGATTTAGCTAATTTATTGACCCTGAGATACTTTTCACTTTTCTGTATTCACAAAACCCACTGATTGATCAGTAGCACAAAATAATGAGAACGTAAGTGATAGCAAAACGTTTTTGATAATGATCACGTAACGGTTTCTTGAAAAACGGATTGAATAAACCTCATCCACAAACCGGCCATAAGTCATACTCAATAAGATATAATATAAGAAATACCACTTAGTTAATAAAGTCAGAATTGAGCCAGAGATCTGAATATTTGAAGTTGAGTTTCACAATCACTCAAGACAAAATAACGGATAGTGACTGCATTTAACAACTTAACTTTGTGCCTTACTTCACCTCTAAATATAACTTAAGTATCAGAAATTTTACAACTCAATAACACACACAAACGCAATTGTAAGTTCGGATGTGAAAAGAAGGCTTTGAGTATTTAAAAAGTTTGCCAATATTGTTTCGTGGGAACCAAAATGTAATATCCTGAACCTTACTGAACAAATTGCAGACAAGCCTGATAAATATCAGTCGCAGAAATTCATGATGCTAATGCCACACAAGCAAAACTGACAGAAATATCTGGAAGATTTACGCTATTTTTTAGTAAGAAAACAATAACAATGAACTCAGGAGCTTTTTGTGCTCACCACGCCTTTAGTGAGATTTTCCTTCATTATTTACATAGATTTCCAAGAGTAATAGCATCGATGTCTGTGAGAATTCTGAATGGGTCATTCTTTACCTTCTTCCAGTGTAATTCCTATTATACTTTTTTCCAATTATTATTTTTATTGATGGGATTTAACATTAGAAACTTGAGCTTATAAGCTCCACTGGATTCGATTTTCAATATTACCCTGTCTGAACGAACGTGTATAAGGCATTACCGTTAAAGTTTGATTATTTTTTTAATGGTGAGTGAATGGAAACGAGAAAAAAATTATGAGAGGGGTATTAGAAAAGAACACTTTCAAATAAAGTGAAAAGTGGTTGTCTTATTATTTTTGATTTAATAGAAATAGATAAATAATAAACGAACTTAAGACGTTATTATTTCATTGTAGATACAACTACATATGGAGGTGTGTGGACTGATGATCGAAACATGGTCATCAATACATACCGACCGCTTAGAAGGAAAAAATCTACACATAAAAGCTAGCTTATTTTACTAAAGAATGGTCGGAATCGGGTAATTAACACGGAGTACCGATTACGAGCACTTACATGAGAAAATGTTCGTTTACTAGTAAACAATTTCAGAAATAAACTCAAGAGAATTCAGAACGGTGAAAACAACGATCTATCAGTCAAGAGTATTTTAAAATAGGAACCCTAAGATTGCAACAAGTATGTTCTGTTGAACACCAAGCTAAAAATACAATCCAACGCCAATAAGATATAATTATGACGGTTAATGGTGCACTTCATATGAACAAAGTAATTTCTACGAATAAAGCACAGTAGAAACACTTTAATTTAGGCGTGAAATAGAAAAAACAAAAATTCATTAATGCATAGCGCTGTTGACTTTTAAGAACAAGTAAATATGATCAAAATTAATAAAAAACAAATGAATATTTGTAATATCTCAGTGAGAAAACTAAATTTTTTGACGTTTTACAACTCAGTATAAGCCACTTCTTTAAAAGAACAAATGATCAATATGTTCTATCCATTTCTTTTATTGTTCACAAATGATAAATGCATGCCTAGTTATAGAGTTTAAACAAATGGCCTCTTCAACTTTTTTCTACTTCATTATTAAAACAAACTTAAAACGAAAAAGAACTATGCAGTTTGCTTATCTAGACAATACAAAAAGAATACTATAATGAACACTATATCTGAAAGTAGTGTGTGCCTTTGTGCGTGAGGTTAAATACGGTGTGGTAAATAAATAAAAGATGATAATCTAGTTCTAAGTCTGTGGAAAGCATGAATCTAATCTGCAATAGTAGTATAATGACAATAATTTCTTCTGAAAGTTACATTGATAATCACATTTAATCTACTATAGAAGCTTTAAAACTTAAGATATAAAGGACAAGTACCCAATCTATTAACATCAGTGTTTACTTGATAGTAAAGTTTGATTTATTTGGAAGTTGTTTTGGCAACAATTTATAGAAACTAAAATGTGAAAAAGCGGTTATTCTATTTTCAGATTTTTTGCCAGTCCTTATGTTTAACCCCTTTTTGGATAGTGAACTTAAAACTTTGAGGCTTTACAATGAGAATGGTGTCTTCGAAGTAGTCGATGATGTGTAAAGAGTAACATCTATCTGTTTATTAGTGAGCAGAAGTTAGTCAGTCAGTCAGCGACAACGTAGGACCAGGCACATATATGCATCGGTCCAAGTTGCCATACCTCGTTAGCACAACAAGATCAACACCGGATGCATAAAAGTAATTAATTTAGTGATGGTAGTATATAAAGAAAGGTTGTATATAAGGATATAGTGTAGGAAGGTAAAAAAAGTTATGAAGCAATTTTAATTTCACGGTTTAAGGGAAGATAAAGAGTGTATACACCTACGCCATTGTGATCGATTCTGAGCCATGTCACCCAGAGTCTCCAACCATTGGTTACGATGGTCACGCGGACCCCAACCAGGTAGTCTGCATCTGCCAACATGGCTCAGACTAGAAGTTAGTGATTTCAAGCACTGATGCCACGTTTTAGTTTGGCCGCCCCTAACTTTTTTCCAACCATCCCCTACACTAGTCAACATTGCGCGTCGTGGTAATCGGTGTTCAGACATATGTAACACGTGGCCCAACCATCTCAGTCGATGAAGATCCACAACCTCATCAACTGATTTACCATCATTCCCTAGTACCCTGTGTCTAACCTCACTATTACTTACCCGGTTATCCCAGCAGATACGAGCAATATTCCTAAGGCATCTGTGGTCAAATAATAGTAACCTACGAGTATCTTCTACTCTTAATGGCCATATTTCACAGCCGTAAAGTAGAACAGAATGAACTGCTGCGCAGTATACTCGTCCCTTAATTGATAGACGGATATCTCGTCTTCGCCATAGGTGACGTAAGTTGACAAAAGCCAAACGAGCTTTTTGAATCCGTGCTGAGATTTCGTCAGAAGTTAAATAAGTGTAAAAACGAAAGAAGCATATGGTGGTGAACATTGTGGGATAATAAAACTCCGGATACAAATGTGAACAAATTAACTTAAGAAAAGCATGTTTTACAGTAATTGTTACGGAAATTAACATTTCAAACAGGGTTTTGTCGAAATAAGAAATCGATGTTGAAAATTTTATTGCTTGACAAGAATAAGGCAAGGTTTGATATTTAAGTATATCTATCAGTAATCCTTCAATCAGTGAAAATTTCCAAATTAATTAACTTTTAAGAAACCATTAAAACGTGAACAAATATCGTATAACTTACCGGAATTCATAGATCTAATAACATCAACTAGGTTTATCCATACTTCTGGAACATAGCTCAGAAACGAAAAACTTTCCTTCTCACTAAACGTCGGTACTAGTAAGAAAACCCAATTGAAAAAAGCAACTTACAGATTTAAGCATTGCTTTTGTGCTAATGATAAGATATATGCCATAACATACCGTTTAGGAATGTGTTTCACAACATGACGACAACGAACAGTGACAACTTCCGCATTACATAGTGGCTTTGAGTTATGTACAGACAATTTTGTTGCCATAAGGATAACAGCCTTTTGAAGATCGTCCATTAAGTCGTGCTTTTTCAAGTTAAGAAGTTAACTTGACTGCTTTATCCAAGAATAATTATGGTGCGTTGTATACAGATGAAAAAATGCAAAACGATTCCCGAACAGCAAGAAGGATCTATATAGAGAATAAAGACGAACTTATCACTAATGTTAAGTGAACGCTAGTGAAATTAATTTGCTTATACAACGTGGACAGATTTATACCCTTAAAAGAATTGCAAAATATTAATCATATATGGAGGTTTATGTATCAGAATTTGAGCAACGCCTATGAACTAATGATACACTAATTTGGTTTCGTAAATGGTTGGTGGGGATGAGTTCTAACTTAACATCCACTTGATAATAGGTAAGTAACAAACAAACTGGAAACGTTGGGTTGGAAACTTACCGCGTCAAGAAATAGCCACTGACAAAAGAAAACGTAATTTTGTCCTCATTCAATATCAGAAAACGTGTTTTTTGACAATTTATGTTAAGTTCTCCTTTGTCTTCGGTTTGTTGAGATAATGAGTAAACGGAAGCTCATGACCACAGTTGAATTCGCAGTGAGCTAATTGGATTGCTTTTTACCTTCGTAACAACGATTGCTTATAAATGAAGCTCTCTCGTATTCGTCTTGAGATATTATTTGTCACTGATCTGCCGGGATTTGTTAAAACTTCAAAAATGAGTTCAGTGATCACTGCGACCAAGAGACTATATCCATATTAGTTGATTGATTATTAAACCAATTCCAAAGCAATATTGAATATTTGGAGAGAATAAAACAATCTAAAGACTGTCTCGTCGATATCCAAAACGTTGGAAATACTAACTTTGCTAGCATATGACTATTACTACTATACTATGTCAATAGAAGTTTCCGCGTTGAAGATAATCATATAGAACCAGATGAAACTCACTTCTATCAACATGCTATCTGCATTGATACATACATTTGTAAGAAGTGGTAGTCCTTGGAAAATATAGACCAGTACATTTGTTTAGGACAATCTCGCCGTATGAGCCAACATACAAAAAACCACACTTGGAAACCTTGATGTGAGTGTGTACGTTCAAGAAAATAAGGATAGGTAATGTTAGTTATATTTTTGACGGTATAATGAACTGATCAGTTCATAACTCGAGTTATAAAAAAAAGAACAAAACTGTGTCCTCTTGTTGAAAAGGTCTGGTTAGTAAACGGATGTGAATAACCATACGAATCATGTGTTTGGTGGGATTCTAGACGTTTCGGCGCATTTTCGCATTATTCCTCCCTTATTTTCCAATGCATCTTCCCATTTATTGGTTGTTTGGGCTGTACAGTACAAGGAAAGCCATTGATTTCAAGAAGTTTGGGAGGGATCCCCCAGATGAGAAACACCAGAACAGCATAACAACATTTTAAAGGGAAATTACTATCACGGTGATTACAAAATCATTGACCAAATATCTTTATAATATAAGTATAATAATATTCCTTGAAACGGTTTTTATGACTCTAGCATTCCATCACAATACAAAACGACTTACGCGTTTTATCAAAATGTGACTGAAATATGAGATTTTCTCTTCAAACCAAACAATAATATTACAAGACCAGAAATCTCAACAACAACTTTAGAAATTCAAGGTCAACGCGTACCTTGAATAACCGCTATATTCGGTTTCAATTTCCAGTATTCATAGTTTTCAGTTATAGGGAGAGTGAATGAATGAACCTGTTTTAACCCTTGCAGTTTGTTTTCCAGTGAAGATCCAGCTACTCCTTGGAAATGTTTAATAACGGGGCTGATAACACTAGTCCGAGTAGGGCGTTTCAGTTATTGGCCACTCTGTGAGAAAATTAGGACCCTACTCTGAGTTTATTAGATATCGGTTTTTGAACCTTCTTGCTATAACCTCAAAGATTGCCAGCGCTGGAGGGAGCAAAAAGATAGCACATATTATCACCCAAATCGCAGTCGAAGTTAGGGAATTCCAGTATATTGGCCTTGTATATCAGCCTACTGATAATGATTTCGGTGATAATACATCCCATACCTTTTCCTGTCTAGTACTGATCATCTAGGAGAACATGTAGTGGCATTGGATCCCAACCACACTATTTTCGAAGCTAAACATACAATTACTGAGAAGATTGACATCCAACATATAACATGTGGAGGTCGGTAATTGTGAACGTGGGAACAATTAATCGAAATTGCAGGGCTTGGTCAAGCAGGTGCGGTCACATAAGCCTCCGCTTATTGTATCAGAAAATCACTCTCTTCTCGGCTCAAATGTGTTCTTTGGAAGTAATATATGTTATGTTCCCGATCGACACATTGGACGAGTCAGTGTAGAATTCCACGTAAATTCTTATAGATCATTTAGTTACATCATGACGTGTACGATCCTGGTATCGGGTTTATTACTAAAATAGCAAGGATAACTGTCATAATACCGAGATAGAACATATTCCAACAAACGTACCAAAATGTTTTAAAATTCGTAACGAATTCGTTCCTTTATGGAATTCTTTTCACCGTAGAGCGGCCAATTATAAAACTTTTCTGCTATATCATGTAGTATCGACACCAGTTGATTGGTTCGGAGAAAGATTAAATCTTCATAGCAGAGCAAGTCGTGTGAATTAGCACAGACCACTTAGCCTTCCATCCTTAACACTGGCAGAAATACAAATAGATTTGGCCTGGAGAAATCGAAGTAACGTACCTCATTTGGTTAAATAAAAAAATCGACAATGAATGGTAAATTTTGGGTAGTAGTGTCAAAAGCAGTACTGGAAAAAATGGTTGAATGGCAATAGATAAGTAAATCTAACTGCTATTGAGACAAAGCCTTCCTTAACAATCCTATCACCAAAGGCACACTCAATGTAACGGAGATGAACTTTTAAGACTTATTAGGATCAGCAAGTGTTTAAATATTAGGAATATGTACCAAGTAATTGGTTAGACGTGAAGCGGTTTTAAAAAACGTAGGAATAGTGTTCTATACCAAAAAGTGATGGTTCCAAAGTGAGTCAAATTCGAATCCAACGAATATAATAAAAAGACCTTAATATAATCCATGCAGTTGAATAGATTTCACTGAATTGAAAAAGTTCAGGACTTCTCTCACACAGAAGTATCAGGTTATTTTAAATAGTTTTTCTTTCTCTACATCAATGATTCTCCGCGACTGCTCGAGTTGTCGAAATCATCGTTTCCGGATGACGTCAAAATCTGGGAAACAATAAGAAAGTTGATCATCGACGTATTTCGCTGCATTAGGATCGTTGTCGGAGGGCTCACCGCCTTATTGTGGCCTGTGGTCTGACTCCATTTGGACCGTTTCTGATTGCTATTGAGATATACACATCATCAATCCTCATATAACATTATCGACTTAAACCACGTTAGTGTATGACGGAATTGAATAAGTTGAATACGAGAATGAGGTTCTGAATACGTATATTTTGTACACTCATTGATCTGGACAGACAATCAGAGGGACCAAGCGAAAGAACCAAAGAGAGCGAGGCGAAATGACGCGCAGTGGAGAATACGTGTAAGCCAACTTCATTTAATCAAGCGTTAATCAATGTTTATAGACCAACAAAGGTAAGTTACAGACATGTGATGAGTAAGTTAGAAAATGAACACACATAAAAACAGCCAAGGTTGATAAGCGAATAATTAACAAAGTCAAAACGTAATTCAAGAAGAATGGATAAGTTGGCCTGTCCATAAGCTTCAATAGGTTTCGTTGGATTAATATAGTAACACTACAAAATGCTTCGACGAGATATTTCGAATTTTATACACCACCTGAGTAGGACCCCACATAGAGTAGGGTATACAATGTAGCTGTAAATAATTCCCCAAAATCAATAGCTCATTAAGTGTTCGACATTGGATGCTGACCACGTTGTTTAAGTGGACTTGTTTAGCTGAAGGCTTTCGCTCATGCATCCGTACCAGATCACGTTGCAACACGGCGTGGGGCACAGCTCCTACGTTCATTAGCCAGCTTATAGTAAAGGTTCCTCGATATATTGGTAACGAATCAAATATATCTTTCCTGTCTTTCCTCGTCTGACTTCTGGTTTCTATTCGACTGGGAACGAACGATTATAGAAGATACTGCTGGTTGCTAGTTGCAAAACTAGAATATCTGTTGTATCCTCATTGGTGAGCCCGACGGGATCTGGTACACCAAGTCAATATACTGTGAGTCTGTTCCATTTTTGAATATTATTATTCATTGTTATTGTTTATTTGAATTTTATATATTGTGATATACTGTTTTTTCGAGAACTTTTTTCCCGGATATATTTTAATTAGACATTTTTCGTTATCTATATTACTGTGACGGAACACTCACCCAAGGTTTTTAAGTTAAAGTCTATTCCCCCTACTTCGATTCAGTTAACGCCATTTTGGCCCGACAATATCGAGCCCTGGTTCTGCTACGCAGAAGCTGATTTTTGCATGCACGGAATCACGGACTCGCGCACACGATTCCTCGCGGTGGTTAAGGCGTTACCGCTCGAGTTTAACAGGTACGTAACGACTAGTATGTTTACTAGTGATGTTCCCGAACCTTACGAAACTCTCAAATGTTCGAGTCTAAAACGTGGAGACCTAACCGACCGACAACGGTTACCCCAGCTCCTCCATAACATCGACCTGCAACGTGGTTTTGCTACAGATATGTTGCTTAGGATGAGAGAAGTGATAGGTCAAAGAACCTTTGACGAAGGCCTATTCAAAGAACTTTTCTTATCCAAACTCCCAAAACGGGTGCAGGCGGTTCTCGTCTCGTTCCAAAACAACTCTGTAGACGAACTAGCTGCATCTGCCGACCGAATCCTAGGAATCACCAAATCCACTAGCGTCGAGGTCTTTTCCGTCAATAGAAACCTCAATCGACATCGACTGACATAGCCGAACTATGTCACACACACGATATCTTAGAGTTCGTAATGACCGTAGTCGGTCAAAAACCCCGCGTAGAAGTGTCTCACGTAGACGATCAGTCTCTCGACCACGAGAGGCAGATAATCCCGACTGGTGCTGGTATCATAACCAGTACGGTAAGTCTTCCAGAAATTGCAGGAAACCCTGCAATTATCCGACCTCAAAATCGACTGACACGAATAAGATTTCGGGAAACTTCCAAGCCGGCACGCGTTAACGGCAACCGTAGCCGGCGAACACAGCCGCCTCTTATATGTCACGGATGTGACTACGAAAGTTCGCTACCTCGTCGACACTGGGCAGAAGTTAGCGTTCTTCCAGCAAATCCCGACGACAGACTTCGCGAGTCTGTCTTAAGTTTACAGGCGGCAAACGGAAAGCCGATCGCTACTTACGGTAAAAGGTACGTCTACCTTAACGTGGGTTTACGCAAACCCATACACTGGATTTTCGTGGTTGCAGATGTCTCTATGCCAATCATTGGCATAGATCTGTTACAATACCACAATCTACTCATCGACACACGCTCACGAAAGTTAATAGACGGAAACACTAAGTTATCTGTTTGCGTAATTCCTTGTTCTGGTTGCAGGTTATCCCCAGTCACGATTAAGCACACCATAGACCTCTTGTACCAATCATTACTGGACAAATATCCAGGGATATATCAACCGCAATCGAAATTGCCTTGTGTAACCAGCAATGTTACACATCACATCACGACTACAGGACCACCTGTATTTTCGAAAGCCCGAAGACTCGCTCCCGAAAAAATTAGGTTAGCCAAAAACGAATTCGATCATATGATAGACTTAGGGATAATTCGACCATCGAATAGTCCATGGTCATCCCCATTGCACATGGTCCCTAAAAAGGACAGCAATGATTGGCGGCCAACTGGTGATTATCGGCGTCTGAATGCAAAAACCATTCCCGATCGTTACCCGTTGCCTCATATCCACGATTTGACAGCTACCTTGAAAGGTACAACTGTCTTTTCAAAAATTGACTTGGTTAGGGCTTGTAACCAAATCCCGATGGCACCTGACGACGTTCCTAAAACCGCCATCATCACTCTTTTCCGTTGTCTGAACTCACCATTAGGAATCACGCGCTTCCGAACGACCGCCTACCACCCACAAGCAAACGGGTTGGTAGAACGTTTTCATCGACAACTAAAAGCTTCATTATCAGCTTCAAACGTTTCACAGTGGACAGACGCTCTTCCATTCGTCTTGCTAGGTATCCGCAATGCAGTGAAAGCTGGCATTGGATATACTACACCTCAACTCATTTACGGAACGACACTCCGACTCCCAGGAGAATTCGTGGATCCTTCCTTTTTTTCATTGAACATGGATCTAAACTCTTACACGAGTAGGCTTACAAACGCTATGCCTTCAGTTAAACCTGTTCACACTCGACCTCAATCAACTGATGTTTTCGTTCAACCCGAATTACGACAAAGTACAGACGTCTTCGTTCGTCGACTGACATCGACGACCTCTCGAATCAGCATCCGAAGGACCCTTCAAAGTTCTTCAACGCGAACCTAAATACTATGTAGTCGATAAGAACGGTACGAACGATAGCATCAGTATTGATCGACTCAAAGC